ACCTACTCAGTACTCTACATACCCATAAATCAGTGCACTGAGCTCCCCCTGCACCGGTAGTAGGGGGAGGAAACAGGATGCTGCCATTTTCTTTCAATCCTGTTAGACTTATACAGCTAATGGGATTATCTCCAAATTTCAACATTTTACCTCTAAAATGATTCATTCTTAAAGTAGCAAGAATAATACAAAGAATTCCCATATACTTTTCACCTCAACCTCCTCAAATGCTAACATATTACCAAGTTTGCCTTATCCATCTCTGTATTTTTCCTTAACCATTTTAGAATACGCTGCAGACATAATGCCTTTCACCTGTAAATACTTCAGTGTGTATTTTCTAAAACTAGAGATAGTTTCTTCTCATATATAATCACAGTACAATTATCAGCAAAAAATTAATACTATTACTCTAAAAACTTCAAAATTTGTTCACTGTCTCATGTATGTCCTTTAACATACATACATACATACATACATACATACATACATAAAATTTTTCAGGCCCAGGATTCAATCTAGGACACGTTGCATGTACTTATCATGTCTCTTCAGTCTCTGTTTTAGTCTGATACAACTGTCTTTCATGACATTGACGTTTTTGAAGCACATAGGCCAATTATTCTGTAGAATGTCCTTCAAATTGGGTTTGTTCCAATGCTTCCTCATGATCAGGTTCAAATTATGCCTCATGGGGGCAGGAATCCCACCAAAGTGATGCTGTGGCCTTCTTAGAGCATCACATTATGAGGTACATGTGATCTACTTGTTCTTTTATTAGTGATGTTAACTTTAATAACCTGGTTAAGGTTTCTATTTTTCCTTTTGTTATTAGTAAGTTCTTGTGAGAAGATACTTCGAGATTATGTGAATATACTAATAACCAATGTTTTTTTTCTAATTAGCCAACTCTAGTCTATGGTCCAACTAAATCTCCATAAACAAGAACTTGGAAAAATGTTTAAAGTCTGCTCATGGGTCATGAAATAGCTAATCATGCAACTTTTCCTAGTGTAATGGTTTATTAACATTCTACCTTACCCCCTTCCCTCATGCACAAAAAGAAAGAAACCTAGGATGCTATTTTTTTTAAGAACATAATAAAATGGGGGCGCCTGGGTGGCTCAGTTGGTTAAGCGACTGCCTTCGGCTCAGGTCATGATCCTGGAGTCCCGGGATTGAGTCCCACATCAGGCTTCCTGCTCAGCAGGGAGTCTGCTTCTCCCTCTGACCCTCTTCCCTCTCGTGCTTTCTATCTCTCATTCTCTCTCTCTCAAATAAATAAATAAAATCTTAAAAAAAAAAACATAATAAAATATCTAATCTCATTCATCATTCATCAGATGAGAAAGCTGAATCCCAGACAGGCTAAGTGACTTGCCTAAGGTCAGACAGCTACTCAGTAGCAGACCTGAAAATAATTAAGTGCTCATTGTAGAGTAAGAAAGGCAAAAGTCAGTTCAGTGCCCTTCAAATACATAAGCCCTACAGATACACCTGACGCTGTCTAAAGCAGATTTGCTGTGACGGTTTTTAGAAAGTAGTGGGATTTTTATACAGATCCACAGACAGGGCAGAACATCTTCCATGGAGTCACTGTGGTTTCTAGGGAAGTACAACAACCCACTGCTCGGCCTGAGCTCTCTGTGTCTTCTTCCTTTCTGTCTTGTTCTTCTCCCTTGGCAACACTCATGTCATTCCAAAGGCAAAAGTCAAGTCTCATAGCCCTGGAAAAGAGCATTGCCTACAATAGGATCCTACCCTAGAACAGTCATATGCTCCTTGCCTAATACTCTGGACTCCTGTTTAATTCTAACCAATACCTTTTTGTATGTTATTCTGCATTTGCATGGGGGTGGTTCTGCCATCATCTTATCATGTTTTACAAATTTGAAAAATAGTTGGTAATTTACCCAAGAATATTCTAACCTGGACTAATACAGAAGCAAGCAGACCCTTCCACAATGCCCTGGGACTTTCTTTCACAAAGTGACTATACTATTTAAGAAAAAACAAAACAAAACAAAACTAGCAGGTATGAGGAGTTGGAACTCCAATCTCAACCTCTGCCTAGAAAACAGGTGGACCTAGGCATTAGCTTGCCTGCTCTGCTTCCTCCAAAACCTTTTAGAAGTAATGGAGATGTTAGTGCCCTAGCCAATCCAGTAACCCAAGGTAATATTTCTTGATAAAAATTATTTTTAGATAATATTTAGCAGCATACCCAAGCTAGGAAGAGAGGTAAGGACTATAAAACCATCCCACGCAATCCTTATGCAGCATTCCTCCTTACTGCTTCTGAGAAGCACAATGTGCAGAAAAATAGAAGCAGTGTTTTAATTAAGGATCAACTCTCAATCAGGATTTGGTATAAAATAAAGTATATTTAAAAAATCATAAAAGCAGAGATGCGAATTTCTAGGAGTTAAAATTAGCAATACTCAGAAATGCAGGAAAATGTTGGCTGTGTTAGGAGTTACTAGTAGTGGTGGTGGTGGTAGAATCAAGTGTAGCTGATATTTATTGACTATTTACCATGTACCAGCACTGTGCCAAATGCTTAAAGCTCCTCATGTAGCCCTGAGAACCATCTTAGTGTTCTTATTTTATACAAAAGTCAGTATAAAGTAAAGGAAACACTGGCATAGTGTTATAAATTTGATCTAAGATTATAATCGTGCTGCATGGTAATGTCTGAATAATCTTGGAGTCCAGACCACTGTGCAATTATTGCTGACTGACAGACTAACTCACTCCCTCCTTTCTTTCTGGTCACTTTATAAGGGAGGTCTTCCACGATCACCCTATATAAAAATAGCAAATTCCCATCCTACACTTGCCGGAGTGTCCCCATTAAAATATAAGCTCCATAAGGACAGGAACTTGTCTTCTCAGCTGCTATATCCCAGTACCTAGAACAGTGCCCTGTGTTAGGTATTTAATATCTGCTGAATGAATAAATAATTCATAAATAAAACCAAACTCTGACAAAGATTAATTTTAAATGAATGATCTGCTTTTACTTCTTGATCGCAAAAGGGTTCTGTGGCATGCTCACCGGAGTCTCTTAAAAAATCTGGGCGGGGAATATTTGACCACATGACTCTGTTTATTGAAAAATTCCCTCTAGCTCACATTGATGTTCAAAATCATTCTGTTGGCTATGCAATTTTTGCTTAAAAAAAAAAAAAGGCAAAAGGCCTGAAACTCCATTCCTAGCGGCTAAAAAAGTTTGAACATTAAATACTTTGTTGAACATTAGAGACAAATTTTAGATTAGGCAACTCTGCTCATCGTTGGACAACATCCTCTGAACATCTACATGTGCCAAGCACAGAGAAAGTGCTGGGAGTAACCATGCAGTGCAATATGAGGGCTAATGACCTTCCACTAATATGGGACATCTGCTCTCCCTGATTGCCAACCTCTCCCATCTTGGCTTTCTAGAACTAAGTGAACTCAAACAAACAGGATTTTTAGTATAACTGACCTCCTTGGCAACTTTTATCATCTCCTGCTGCTAGGAATGCAAAGTAAAGGACAGTAGAAATTTACACTTTTCATTTGGGGAAAAAGGTCATAACTTTGGTAGAATCTTAAGAAATTCATAGGAAAGAAAAAGATATTTGTAGGAAAATTGTTTTTCAAGGAAAACTTGTTTTTAAAATGAGCGAAAATTATGGCCTATTGAGAATCTAAGATAATTGGGTAACACTGGGCTAAAAAACAGAAAGATAACTTTTTTTTTTTTTTTTTTTTTTTAAGTAGGCTCCATGCCCAGCATGGAGCGCAATGTGGGGCTTAAACTCACAACCCTCAGATCAAGACATGAGCTTAGATCAAGAGTCGGGTACTTAACTGACTGAGCCACCCAGGCACCCCCAGTAAGATAACTTTGAATAGGTGTTTAAAGTTTCAAAATAAAGTATGCTCTGACTGCTTTCATTACACAAGCTTGGTCATTTATTACTGATCTTTGTGAAGAGAAAAGCTATTAAGTTATTCAAATAGAAAAAAATCTGTCAGTTGATGTGACATATTACTTGTATATTTACTTATATACAAGTATATGAAATTTTACTGATATTGTTAGAGCCCTGAGTGTTACCTGTTTCCCTTTCAGTTTTTGCTTTCAGGGAAAAAAAAAAGTTAAAGTTATATTACACGATGCAAATTCTTTTTTCAAACACTCCTAGATATTCCCGTTTTGCTCAGGCTAAAGATTCTAAGAGTAATAAAATTGTATTCATTTCTCCTCCAAAAGAATTTTACTTAAAAAAAAAATGATATTAACATAAGGGAAGGAAATCACACTTTATTCATAGCGTTTTTCATTACAATGTTCTCTTTACATGCTATATCTACCTCCAGGAAGATTATGTGACATTAAATAGTGATGAGAAAAAAGGGGTTTTGACTTGAACTCACACTCAAACTATCACATGCTTTTGGATGGTGTGCTAATCTTTTGTGATCAGCTGTGGCACAGCGCTCATTCTGCCAGAAAGTGACTCAGGTATACTTGTAAATACCGGCATCAGAGGAAACATGCTTTAGCCATTTCAAAATCCTGAAACTAATCATTAAAATAGGATCATAAGCAGATTTGAGATACCAGGTGAGATGGGCTAGCTACACACCAGCCTTACTTAGATACCATTAACTCACACAGCATTATGACCACACACACATATGAGTTAGAAAGAGTTGAGCTAATATACAATTCACTGAAAAGTATGAAACTTACATATTCACATACCCTTTGAACTTCTGATGGATTTCTGGACACAAACATGACCTTTGATGTGGCACAGAGAACTATGTCTAGACACATTCATAAACCTATTGGTCCATCATGCTTAGCTCCACAAAAAAGTCCTGGCTAAACAGATCAGCATATTAACTGGTTATATTTCAAAATTTGGAATGAAGATGTTTAATGTTCTTGTGCCTCCAATCCTTAAGTGACAGCAAATTGTATTCTGAATTGCAGTACTCACAGCTGTTGCCTGCTCTATTACCCCTCTGTCCAGCTGAATGTTCAGGCTCCTTGTATGGAAACTGTAGGGTTGTATCCAAGGTTCTGAAACCTTCTTTAAGAGAATGATGCTTGTAGTACTCCACAAGTTCCTTTAGGATAAAAGAATTAAAGATTATTTTTGATAAGGGTACTTTCATTCTCAAACACATGAGCTCTTGAACACATAACTATATACAAGAGGAAGATGACTGATTTAATGCCAAATCTTCCGTAAGTATATAGAAGGGTAGGTAAATGATGATCTCTCCCTGCTTTCTAGATGTACATGGCACCTAACTAACTAGTAGGCCTGGCCACTGACTGATAATGTGAGTTACCTCCTATTGTTATTCATGGATAGAGAGCATCCTGTTAAGTCTTCAGTCAGATGTGGTCAATGAAAAGAAACCATACTAAATTTTAATTGCAGAACAGTAATTATTGTTCTTATTTATGAAATACTTGCTTTTCTAAACAAAAATAAAGGGAACAGCTGTTTGCTGAATATATAGCCATTTCTCGTTTCCTGCATTTTCTTTCAACATAGCAGAAAAACAAACTTGATTCTAAATGTTCTTTTCCACGGTAAACCAAAGTTGATAAGCCACAAATGCTACCTGGTATTATTTCTGGCTTACAGTGAAGTGTTAGTGCCCTTCAAAGTTCTGCATAGCATCTGCTACTTATAGAGGTCAATAAAATGTAGTACTTTCCATTTTCCCTTATATCTAATTTGCCTTAAATATATCCAAGCCTAACAGAATACCATCCACCCTCTTCCATACTAAAATTTCAGGAAATTTCTCTTAAGATGTCGGTTTCATAGATTCTGCACAAATATGAATCCTTCTATTTTAAGTAGGAAATAATAATTCATAATGGGAAAAATGCATATTATTAGATGAGTACTATAGGTATAATGTTTCTTAGAAATACCTGAAATGAAAAGCAATATCACTTTTAACCTAATTATTTGGTGCTTCTATTAATGTTTAAAACAAATAGGGTAAAAGTAACTCATTTCTTCTAAAAACCAAACTGTCATCAACTCAGTACCTCCATTCAGTGGTTATGTTCAAATTTCCCCAAAACAAATCAACTGAGCCAAAAATCACCCAAAAGAATCATCAATGATTTCTATTATTTATGATTTACATTATTTATGGCTAAACTCGGATGAGTTGTAGAATGCATTGTGTGGGGAGTTCCAGGGGTCACAAAGATTATGAAGGTCAAGCTACTGCCCTCTAGGACTGCTCACTCTTGAGGGAAAAGTTAGGGGTTATGGGCCCTCAAAGGTGAGAAAGAGCACTTCCTTTTGTGAGCCCCCTGGAGAGGACGAGGGAACGGTTCATGATGGAGGTAGCTTGGCTTAAATTGAAGAACAGGCAAAATTGCAGAAGCCAGGAAGGTGGAAAGGATTGTTTTAAGTAGAGCAGCCAGGCTAGGAACAGACATAAAAGTGACTGAGTGAAGGCTACATTCATAAACAAAAAGCAGCATGGTTTGGCTGAAGCATTGGGTAAAGCAAATGGAGATTCTTCAAATCCCACATCTATAAAACGGGGACAATGCACCAGTTCACAGATTATAGTAAGAATGTATAGAGTGCCTGGTACGTGTGAATAATCTAACTACCACCACAATCCCATACGCCAGGAACTTTACAGGGCTTCGCACCATCTCCACACAATAAACAAGAGACAGGCTTAGTCCCCATTGATAGTCAAGTCTCAGAGAAGTTAATCGACTTGTGCAAGGTTGAACAGCTGATGTCTGTCTCCAAAGTCTGTGCTCATAACGACATCATACTATTAGCAAGTAATGCTTGGCAAATGTAAATACAAAAAATGGAGGCAAAAGGGAAGGAGCATTTTCTAAGTGTCCATGATATACCAAGAACTTTGTTTTCTTAGATCTAAGATGCTAAAGTTTTACATACTTTACATCTATAACTATCTCTATCTGTCTGTCTATTATCATCATCATCATCTATGTTTCTTCTTTCTTTTTTGAGCCCAGATTATGGTGGTCTTTGATGAAGCAAAGGAATTTGGAATCTGACCAACAAAAATATTATTTATTGCTTTTAAAAAATAAAAGGCAAAATGTTGTAAGGTCTCTGCAAGAACTGTACGTTCATATATATTGTGTTGCTGATGCAAATGATATCAAAGTGTTGTTCTTTTGTCTTATTACTTAAACCAAGTAAAACATGTTCTTTAGCAAAAATATGAAAATAAGCCTGAAAGTAACTATAAGCCAGTAACTTTGAGCTTCAATGTAATTTTGTTATAAACAGTATGAATTTTACACATTATAATATTATGGATTAGTATGAATTTAAGTTTATGTGAAGTTGGCAAGAAACCACAGACTTATCATACTGAAAAGGACTTGGTGATCATTTCCTACCTACCCATCACCAAATTTTATGGAGGAAAAAATGACTTTTCCCAGGCCTTGGGTCATGGAGCTTGGTAAGCTGCAAATACTTTTTTATCACTTCACTAAGCATCGAAGATAGCTTAAGTTCCATTTTTATAGTCTTATGAGGGTAAATCTTCCTACACGTTTCTGACTGGGTAGAATTAAATTGTGCCACCATGGGTCTTTTCCAATTTATGCCTTTATGCTTTCTGTATTTTAGTCTAATCCACCCCTGCTTTAGCAGTCATTGACCTTCAGGTACTACAAGTAAATAAGAAGACTCTAAACAAAAGAAATCGCTAAGCTTTCCTTATCTCACACTGACAAAGCAGTGTCAACAATTGAAGTCTCTCTGAAAAATAATGAGTGAGAGTCAGTCATTCCAATTACCAAGGAAACAGGCAATGGAGATGATTTATAAACAGCATTTGGACATGGGTTGTCTGGCATACATGAAAATTAGAACAAAATTAATGCCTTGTAATCTGGATATAGAAATTCATTTAGAATTTGAATTTAATGACTAAGAAAAACAAAGATTTTGATTCAATAGCCAAGCTATTGAAACCCAAGGGGGAAAAGCTTAGGTTATAACCACCTAAGGTCAATCTTCTCTTTGAGAAACTGGCTAATTTTTTTTCCCTTAAATTTTTTATTGTTATGTTAATCACCATACATTACATCATTAGTTTGTGATGTAGTGTTCCATGAGTCATTGTTTGTACATAACACCCAGTGCTCTCTTTAATACCCATCACCAGGCTAACCCATCCCCCCACCCCCCTCCCCTCTAGAACCCTCAGTTTGTTTTTCAGAGTCCATCATCTCTCATGGTTCCTCTCCCCCTCCGATTTCCCCCCTTCATTCTTCCCCTCCTGCTATCTTCTTTTTTTTTTTTCTTCTTAACATATATTGCATTATTTGGAGAAACTGGCTAATTTAAAACAAGTTCTGGAGTTTGCTTCCATTTCACATCCTTGCCAAATTAAAATTTAATTCCAGGCCCTGCTTCATAGGTATAAGCATATAACTTTACCACCCATAATGGGAGGACACGGAACCATTCTTAACCAACAACTCCAATGCACAGACCATTATGTACATATGACAGAAACTGTGTTGACACCAACATGATAAAAGGTAACTAACTCCTTGAAGTTGTATGATCCTGATTTAGAGAAGCCCCTACACATTACCAGAGTGAAGGCAAAGGTGCCTATTAATTCTCTCTCCCCTTCCAAAGGGCCTGCTTACTAAAGTAGGAGCCATTCGTTCTGATCAAATATCCATGTGGTATTTTTAAGTTTAGGTGTAAAGGACAGCATTACTGTGAGCTTCTTGCTATGGATGGATTTATGAATCTGAAAGCTTTAGAATAGTGGAGTCATTTTGAGTTCCGTAAAAACATACTGATTTCATAAGGTAAGGATGCCATATAAATTGGTTCAACAAACGAACAGAAACAAAGAGGAGGGACAGCTCCAGACTACAGCTCGTCGGTCTCTTCTGCAGTTTTTACAGTTATTTGCTAAACCTGACTAAAATATTTATCCAAGACACAGTTTTTCAGCCGCCTAGCTTTCTTTTTACAATTATATCCTTTCAGTAATTTTTTTTAGTTTCACTGTAGTTATGCTATTAATTCTGAATTCCCTCCCTTTAGCTCACTGTGCTATGTGCTTCCCCTCCAGATACGGAAGAACAACATGCTTGTGTCTCTAGCAGTGGCATTTAGGACATACATTACACATACCATATAAGGGGGAGAGCCTGTTTTAGCTCTGTGACGGTACCTCTTACTTCCCTTTCCAGAACATCATTGCAGAAACTTGCACTGCTCTCTGGTACCCAGAAGTTAAGAATGCTGGGGGGGCTGTTGCTTATACTATAATCACAGCTTTGTATGGAGATAGGAAGGCGAGGACCTATGTTCACTAATCCAGATCATGAAGTATCTACTGGCTTTTTCACTTCTTAACCCTCAGCTGCTGATGAACTTTCTGGAGCTGAACCAAGGGACACAAAGCTGAATTGACTGGCCCTTTCCAGTGACTATTCCTTTCATCCTCTTTGCTTGTCTCCTCGGATGGGAGTTCCTTTTGTTACTTTCAAAGTCGGCAAAACTGGCAGTCATCTTTGGCCCTACAGCATTTTTTTTTTTTTTTTTAAGTCTCACATTAACTCTAATACCGTGGAGCAGCCTCATTATCATCCACGGAAGTTCTGCAGGTGAAAGCTCCAGCCGATATGTCTTGCAGTGAGGTAGAGACCCCCTGTGCCTGTTTTTATCATGTCTCAGCTGGGGCTGCCATTCATTATTTGTGCATCTGCTTGCCACCTCCCCCCTAGGTTTTCATTTTAGGAAAAACCTCCTCAGGTCCAGTTCTCTCTGTGCACAGCTTGCTTGTTCCAACAGAACATAAGTCACTTCCAGCAGGGAGGATGCCTGGGTCCTGGTTACTAATTTGGCAGGGCTCACATTTTCCAGGACATGATCTTGCTGCCCATCCTTAACTGTTGAATTGGGAATGTGATATTTATGTCCAGAGAGGTTTTCTGCCTTTTCTTTCAACTCAAGATGCTTCCATTTCTTTAAAACACTAATCCCTGTCCTACAGCAGTTCTAGATTTTTAGGTAAGACTTTCAAGCTGCCCTATTTTGCAAGGCTCTCTTCCCTTCCATTTTAACTTCAATGTTTAACATCTGCAAAGTGCTTTGAGATGTTTTCTGGAGGATGCAATATGTATCATTTGATTGATGCCTCAGTCAATGAGTGGTCCTTCCCAATGTTACTCAAAGTACTTAGAAGTACACTTACAAATGCATCTTGTATCTTGTGTCCAAATTCTTCATTATCTCAAGAAACTCTCAAACTTGAAAAACAGACTTGAGACCATTTTTTAAAGAAATACAAACTTTTTCTTTTCTGTCAGCAATGCATATATAATGCCATATAGACACTGTTTTTATGACAACCATAATATGCACTAGTAAAATTATTAAGTGGTAATTTTTTTAAACTATAAGAATAAAGTAATCTTGGTTCATTTGGAGCAACCTGGTAACAATGTACTATTTCAGTTTAAATATAAAATTCCTATGAAATACCAAATGTTTGGTAAAAATGTTACTGTTAATACTTAACTGTCCAAAGTAATGAAGCAGAACCATAACACAGATGATTTAAAATAGTACAACACACAAAAAGCTTTTCTGCTTGACATTATATTGTATTTTGCATGGAATGAACCTAGTGAGAGGTATTTTACCAGCTACAATTTTTTTGTTGTTATTAAAAATACCTTCCTCTGTCTGCATGAGCAGTTAAGAGGCAGAGGAAGGAAGAGGAGAAAAGATGGATGTGAAAGATCTGCCCTGTGACTCAAACACAAGGCGAAACACAAATCACTGAAAGTTGACCGAATTTGTCTATTGTTCTAAGAATCATAAATAATGTGGACTCTGAAATGTTATCTAAAACTTGCAAACTGAATATTCAGTGAAAAATATGAGCAGGGCAATATAAAACTTAATTGGAATTCTTAGAATTATCAGGATTCTGCTGCAAAATTATAGGGGTCTCTTATAAACAACTTTTCAGTGCACAAAATTTCTAAGAAACGATCGAATTAAACTGGCCTTTGAAATAAGAGCAAAATAAGGACCATAGATTGAAACGAACTAATCAATGCTTACCATTAAACTTTTGAATTTTCTATTTTCTGCAATGTGAAAAAAGCCATCTCTTGTTAAAATCTTGATGTGCTTTGCTTCATTATTGTACCTGTGGGCAATGAATGACGTATGAATATAAACGTGTTTTTAATCAGTAGAAATCAATAATTACCAGAGGGCATGCCCCAATAAAATTATAGGAATTAATTCTGAAGACAAAAGATATACCTATGCCAATACACTGGTGACAGCTAATTAACAAAATATATTTACTAGATTGGTTGAAGATACAACCAATATTTGAAGTGAGAAGGGGGGGTTAGATTTGACCAATCACTATGCCCAATTTATTAAGTACAGTTTGAGAATACAGAAAAACAAAATCAAATAAAACGAAATCTAGTAATATATATTTTTAGAATTAATGAGAAACATACACACATCAAATCACCAGAATACAATGTTATGAAAGAAATCTAGTATGCCAATTAGCAGCCTATAACACTTAATACTGTTTTTCTGACAGATATTTTCAAGTATTAATGAAGTGTCTGGATAGATGCATTATTTCTGCTGCAATTAGAACCTTGGTTTTTAACTTCAGTGTTATATATGTCAGATGGTCTATGCAATCATGAAAACAGGAAATCTATTTCTGTAAAAGTACTTGTCCTACTTACTTAATGCTAATTGCATATTCTCCTGACTCTTTGGTCCTGTGCCTCACAAGGTAAGTACTATTTACCCTATTAATAAGTTCAGTCTCTGCCTGCAATCTTTCCATTGCTCCAGCATACCTGAAAGAAACAATGACACAGAAAATTTGGGTAATATACCTGGAACAGAACTGAAGCTAAAAATAAGTCTCTGTCAAGATTTTAATTTAGTGGCAGATCTGAGCTGTTTTTACTTCGATACTAATTATATTACTTCAAAAAATAGTGCAGAAAAAAGTCCTCTGATAAGTGAAAAAACAAATGCTCTACAAAGCTAGCAACAGTGAATAGTGCCTAATGCACAGTAAGCACCCAGTAAATATTTATCAAATAAATAAACGGGACAAAGAAAGGAGTGAGTAGGTATTGAGTTAGAGAGACACTAATAGGGAGTTTAAGAACAAGAAGGAAAAAGCCTGGTAAGAGAGGGACTATCATGTATAGGACACACACACATACACACATGTATACACATACACCCCCTCTAAAATTTCACCTTTTCTACGCATACTGTGAAATGAAACCTACTTGGAGCATCTTTTTAAGAAAATTCCAGTAACAATTTAAATTATTTTTAAATAATTATTTTGGGGGATATAAAGTGAATTCTTATGATCCACAACTTTGATAACCAATTTTCTTAAGAACTTAGTAGGGGCTAAAATTTAATTTTAAAAGGTAGATATTTTCAATAATAGAATTCTTCCTAAACTATCTTCACTTTAAACATACTCAAATTCCATAACAATAACAGTAATAATAAAAGGCCCAAATCCAATGGGAAAATACTCCTTAGAAACCCTTTCACATCAAATACACATTTTACATTTATTGGCAAAATATAGCAGAGATTTGGGGCGATAAAAGTTAAAGGCAAAAATTTTATGTTTAGATTGGCTCTCTTTCAAAACTTCATGAATTAGTATTCCAGAAAATTCGAATGGGGTAACTCAGTTTAAATACCCACCGTTAATTTATACTAAGTGTTTATTTAAAATACAAAAGTTTGTTGAAGGAGGATATGTGAGATTTCCACCAAGCATAGAAGGAGAGCTACGGGCATTTCATGCAGGTGGTACCTTGGGATAAAAGCACTTATGATAACCCATGAACTATTAGTACCTAGTATGTTCTGATCACTCTTCCATCTTATCTCTCACTAGTCTCCAGCCTTCTTTCAGGCTCAGGAATTCACCAGCCTGTTTTTGATCTTAAGAGTCTTCCCATAGACTGTTATTGCCTGGAAACACTCACCCAATCCACACACATTCCTTCTCATCACTCAAACTTAAGAGTGACCTTCTCTGACCATCCCATCTGAACAATGTTGTCCTGCATCTCACACTTCCCTCCATTATTCTTATTACAGTATCCTAATCTCTCCCATGGCACTTACCACAATTAGTAGATAGTATATGCATTTTTATCAAAGTAACACATGAACATAGTTTCTAAAAGTCAACTTGTGCTGTAATAATATGAAAAAAAGCAGCATTACCCCATCTGATCAGCTTTCTATCCCAAGTTCCATTTCAAGCATTTTATCTATTTTTTATCTATGCTTGCATATTTCTAAATAATCAAACTACAATTTCTTAATTCATCAATTTTAGGTGTCAGGAAGGAAAATAATTTCTTCTCCATTCATGCTCATTCCTTCATGGCGCTTCTCCTCACTCTTGTTTCTGTAACCTCTACAAAGCCAAGCCATCATCTGGACCAGTTTTGTCATGTTTTCATAGTCAAAGAACATCTGACATCCAAAAAAACAATTCCTCAAGTTTTTGTTTGCTCAAACTTGCCCTACAAATTCTCTCCAAATTCTCCAGGAGAATAATAAACATCTCAGTAGTACACTTCTCAACACCATATACTGAACCTGTCCATTTTTTTTCTACGGAGACATTCATTTCTTCTGAGCCCTCCACCCTCTTGGTCTATTCACTACTACTTGCTCTCTAAGCCTCCTGAATTATTATAGTCCTGGGACATCCCTTTGCTCTCATTTCCTGGAATCTGTATCTCCCTCTTTATGGGTTTATTAGCTCATCCTTCAGCTTCCTATAAATGGATACATGGGTTGTAATACTCAGAAAGCATCCCATCCAGAAAAAATATTTTTATTTTACTTGATACTTAACTCAGAATTTGCCTGGATATAAAATTCTAGGTGAGAAATTACTTTCTCAAATTTTGAGGCATTGTCCTATTGTCTTCTCACTTGCAATTGAGTGCCATTCTGATTCTTTGAATGTGATCTGATTTCTTTTCCTCCCTGGAAGCTTTCAGACTCTGTTTTCTCCATTTTGCAAAATTTCATGATAACGTGCCTTCCAGTTATATGCTATATGTTTTAGTTCAATATTGTCCTGGGCTCTCAGTAGCATCTTTGATTTGGAGCCATATATCCTTCGGTTCTAGGAAATTTTTGTCTTATTTCCTTGCTACTCTCAGTTTTCTCTTTCTGGAGTACCCACGAAACAAATGCTATACCTCCTGGATCAACTGTCTAATTTCCCTACCTTTTGTCCCATATTATCAAATGATTTGATTTTCTGGAGGATTTGCTCAACTTTATTTTCCAACTCCACTACTTAATACGTAATTTAGAAGAGCTATTTCTTGTTCTCTGATTTTCCTTTTATAAAACATCCAGCTCACTTCCATGGGTATATTGTCATCTCTTAATTCTGAGAATATAAATTAAAGGCTTTAAAAATAAATCTTTCTTCCGCTTATTCTAATGTCTGTATTTTCCTCATTTCTTTTCCCCATTTATTCTATTTGTTCTCTAGTTCAAGGCTTTTCTCAAATGCCTGGTTATTCTTTGTTGTCTGTTTATATTTAGGAGAGAGGCATCTCTGTGGGGGTGGGGAGCACCAAAGTAGACTCGCTGGGTAGGAACATAATCATTTGGCAAGAATGTGATTCATGGGGCTGGATAATACCCAAATGTTAGGATTTTAGGATTCTTTTTACTGAGTCTGTTCAGTTCCTTTAGAGAAAAATCTTCCAGATTTCTGTTTGGAAGCAATGAGGATAGTCTGTGTGTATGAGACCCAGCTGTCACAGTATTGGAACTGAGCTACACAAAGGAACTGGGGATTGTCATCAGTCAGTATGTAGACTTTCCTTAATTTGACTACTCTGCAGTATAGCATCTCCCTCAATCTCTGCTGGCATTGCTCTAAGTGTAAGCCCTACATGCCTCAATTTTTCCACATAATATATCTTCTAGTTCCACTTCTCCTGCTAGGGTAGGGAAAAGTAAGTTGTCTCACTACTTGTAGAATGGCGTAGGAACCTTGACATCTGCATCCTGTTCTTCATATGGATTTTCAGATAATTCCCCAGTTTTAAGCCCCATGCCTCATCCCTGCCTGCAGGGTGTGTGCTCCCCCTCCCCCTCACAATCAAATTACATACGAAGAATCAGAAGTCAGCATGGCCTCTTTCTACCATCTTGGAACATACGGAGGCCTGCTGGGAAGAGGACTCCTAAATCAACAAATACGTCTGGAAGGCTGTGGTCCAAGGCCATTTTTGCTGTCTATAAGTAGGGTCTCCAGAACCAGAGGGAGACACAGCTCTTCTTAAAATTGAAGGTGTTTATGCTCAAGATGAAACTGAATTCTGTCTAGGCAGAGATGTGCCTATGTGTACAAAACAAAGAACAACACAGTGACTCTTGGTGGCAAACTGAACAAAACCAGAGTAATCTGGGGAAAAGTAACTCATGCTCATGGAAACAGTGGCATGGTTCATGCCAAATTCCAAAGCAAACTTTCTGCTAAAGCCATTGGCCACAGAATCTGTGTGATGCTGTACCCCTCAAGGATTTAAACTTACTGAAAAGTAAATAAATAAAGGTGTAGATTTATTCTCTTGGGAAGGAAGAATCTTTTTTTCCCTGGAAGGAGGGACGGAGGGAGGGAGGGAGGGAGGGAGGGAGAAAGAAGGAAGGAAGGAAGGAAGGAAGGAAGGAAGGAAGGAAGGAAG